TTCTTCAGTTGGACCGGTGCACTGGTCATCGGCGGATTCTTATGCTCCCTCGAAGGGCAATTAAAAGTTTTGGGACCATTTTCAACTAATTTAACAGCCAAATGGACCACCGTCACAGATTCTCACGGCGGCTGTGGCCGGCGGTACTGAAGCCGAACCGTCATTGAGCCAAGCACGCATGCTCACGATAAGGATTCCAGCGTTGCACACCGAGAACGGCGTCCTGCGTGTGACGGTTGCAAGCGACCGCCCGCGTCCCGAACCAACCAGACGCTTCCAGATGGCTCCAGATGTGCATAACCTTCCCGTGGAACTGGCTAGCAAATCACAAGTCGGTCGTCCCTGACGTGCGTTTTCCCAAAAGCCGTTCGCGATCTAGCGGCTATTTGACCGATCTAACATTTTGTAAGCGATCTAACTATTTTCGAAACATGATCTGATGATTTTGGGAACGATGCAACGATTTTCGAAACGATCCAGCGATTATGTAAGTTATACAACGATTTTTTACATGATCTGACCAGAACAGCCGAGTGGGCCATCATGCCGGGGGCGCCCTGCGCGACGTGATTTACGCGACCATCTGGCGACGCGTCACGGAGAGCGCCGGCACTCGCTCTCGAGCCGCGCCACTGTCACAAGTCACGCGCGCCAGAAGTTTGGTCTGCTCTCGAGGCGGGTCACGCGCCGGATCGGAACCGTCACCGGCACGTGCGCCTGACATTCGCGGTAAATTTACTCCGTCAGCAGATATGGCCCATTGTTCAGGCCGTCGCCGCTCACATTCCCTTGTGATCTGTATTGGCTGCGATGATGAACATTGATTGCTCATGTGCCACACCCTATTTATTGGCCTGATAATGGCCAGCGCTGTAGGAGACCAATCGGACACCGTGAGAAATAGCGTGGTGATTACATTGAATGGCGTACAATACAGTGGCCGTGCGTCATTCGGAAGTGTGGGAGAATATTTTGCAGTTGGAAGGCTTCACATGGGTTCCGACGGTCTTCGCTGACACTAATATCTATGTGTCGAACTCACGGGATCGAAAACCTGGCAGGACAAGACATTGGATTGAGCTGAAGGCAGGGGGTCGTTTTTAAAACATGTGTGCGGGGTATGTGTCTTCAAGTATGTGTGTGTGGGGGGCGGGGGGGGTGACTGAATGAAGAAAAGCGACTCGGCTTACACCGGAAGTACGCCAGCAAACTCGTTTCCTCCCTCCCGGATGTGGCCCATGACCCCCCCCCCCCCCCCCCGCCACCCCTATATAGAAACTACACCCCTGGCTGAAAGATGCTGAGAGCATTTTCAAAGTAGTTGGAAAATCTGGCATTCGGGCAAGGTGACTGAAACTCAAAAGTAGGTTTTGGGAATCGCAACTACGCGTGGCTGTAGAAAAGATACCATAAATTCCGAAAGCAAATGAAAGCTAGTGATAGATGGGGACGAGACAGGGTTTGAGCATTTAAAGTGCATGAAGGCATATAAAGGGCATATGACTAAAAGCAAATATCGCCCACGGGTGTGTAAGTATGAAGTAGGAGTGAGCAACGACCAGGCTAGCAAGAACCGGTACTTTGTACTAACGCGTACAAGCCACAGCCGCCGGCTTACGACATCGGTCCGAATAGCAGTCAGCTGAGATAGCTGACGCCCTTGTGTTATCATGCCGACAGATGTAGCTTGTCTCTCCTGAAGATGTTTTGTCTTGCCCCTGATCGAGTACGGCTGGCCGACCACACCCTGCAGAGGTGTGCAGGAAGGGGGGGAGGGCAACCGCTCCTCCCTCGACCAGGAAGCTGGCAGTGCCCCATAGTTCCCTGGCCTCACACAGTGTGAGTCATCGCCTCGCCAGCGCCTCTTCCTGGACCCCTGCCATGACCTCGCCAGCACCTCTTCCTGGACCCCTGCCGTGACCTCGCCAGCACCTCTTCCTGGACCCCTGCCGTGACCTCGCCAGCACCTCTTCCTGGACCCCTGCCATGACCTATTTTAGCCGCTTCTAGAGTATGTGCGCATTTAGGCCCGGTGCTCGGATGAATAAATAAATGAAATGCGAAATGCATTATGCATGAACTGATGGAACAAGGTAAGAGCTCTCACATAGACAACAGACACCGCCTGCGTCAACGAGACTAGCGTGCATTAGCGAGGTATTGCCCTCTTTGTGTAATGGCATTGGACATTGCTCTCCTTGTGTGATGATATTGGTAGTAATGTATGATAAAACGCTTCCCCTTCCCTCGACAACTTGGCAGTTCCTAAGTAACGATGACATAATCGCGTAGTGTATTTCCATCTGGGTAAGTTTTTATCCGTGTTCTGTGCAATGTTTGCCAGACGTGCATTACCCACTGCTACCACGGTTGTCATTTTGTGAGACAGCCTTGATGCACTCTTGGCCCATGTACAGCCAGTGGACAGTGTTGCGAGCAGGAACAACAAACCCAGATAGACAGTGCCCTCTGTTGTGAGCGGGAGCGGTGAGCAGATCACCTTTGTTGATGAGCGTAAATCCACGGCGGGGGTAGAGTGAGAACGTGTATATGCACACGCTAAAGCCGCTTTGCCAGATAAAGCGGCTTGGAGGGCACTCCACTTGTTATTATTCCGTATTCCAGTTGTTCCGCTGATGTCAGATTCTGGGTCTTTGGAGGGTATGGTGGTTGGTGCCTTAAGGGAATAATATAGAAAAAAGAACAGATCAACGATCTTTTGTTGTTAAAAACAAGCGCGTTTGCAACAAATAAACCTCCAAGTTTCGTACTGTCGCCCACAACTACCGCGGGGTGGGAATCACGTACTTCATTCACCCTCTGTTATATGTGGTTCTTGTTACGGGTGCCTGCCCACGCGAGCCGATGGCCGCGAAGGCAATACACCCTCATTAAGCGCATCAGAACCTGAAGACAGGAGTGATTAAGATCAACTAATCCGGCCAAAAAAACC